AACTTTCTGTTTGCGCCAACAACTATTCAAATGTTACTAGGGTTGGCTTTTGGCTGTCCGTTCTATTACAATTCTTTCATTTCAGTGTAATTACAAACACTGCTTCTCCGTCTTGAGTAAAAACATTCAAACTTGTGTTGTTTTACAGGGAACAGTGTAACAGTGGAGTTCTGCTAATCACTCTCCAGTTTACTCAAAGAAAATGTTAATTTACTTTTAAAAATGCATCATTACCAATTCTAGACAATCACTGCATGTATAGAAAAGTGCTGAAACTAGTAGTCACGTGTACTAAGTGGTGATGGACGAGGAGCAGTCTTTAGAAAAACGTTCATATATATCAATTCTCCTCTAGCAACAGGAAATGGAAATGTGAAGAACTCAAACTGTCTAAACAACACTGTTCTTCACTAAACTACATCCTTCAGCTAATACTAAAGTTTTAGGCTAACAACCACATATACTCTGAACATGTCTTCCAAAAAGTCAAGAAGGTAGAGAAAGTGTTACTGTTCGTGGATTTAATCTTTTTCCGACCTGTCCTCAGGGTTAACAGGGATTCCCAGGTCTCCTGTACGCAGTTTACGAGTCAGGTCTTCAATCTGCAGTTGGACTGGAAGAATTCAGGTTAGGAAAGAAAAACAAGGATGGAGAGAAATTTGATTACCACAATAACAACAGAGAGACAATGCTCTGCACATTGGAGCACTATCTCATTCATTACTGAGGTAAAGACAAACGGTGAGTCTGTTAAATACAAAAGGAAGATCAAATAAACATCTGGTAAGACTCTAAAGTATTACATCATCAGAAGCACACATTACCAGCAAGTCCTAGAGGTCGTTTACTTTAGCATGAAAAAGTCTAACGTCTTCTGAACGTCAATGTGTCCGTTAACTCCACGACTCCTAATAATACCTACCGTATATAAGACTCTTTAATTAATTCCATGAACAGTGCTTAAATCTTAAACATTTGAGGATTACGCTGGCTATTTGGTTTTATAAAGTCAGTCGCAGTCACTCCACAGATCTAACACTGAGGGGATCATTCCAAAGGCAATGAAATCAGTCAGTCATCTAATGCAAATTATGAAAGCTGTGATGAAATACACCAAACACACAGGTTCACTGGCACTGAAACTATTAGTCTGGGTTATTGAGAAGAATAATAAAGGGCCAGTGACTTGTGCTTCATCTTTAAATCTTCCCTCACAATGTTTTTGGGGCTTTACTGAATGAGGAAAAATAACAAGTGTGACGACGGAGGGTGGGCACAAATGAATGTTTACATACCAAGATCAACCATTACCAATGAGTGCACAACATCAATAATGATGTTAGTTTTTGACAAAAAAGGATTGGTCTGCTTCAGAACACCCGCTGAGGGCCTGTGAAGGCAGTATGTTGGTGTTACACTGCTGCTGGAAGGCATGTGTGGTTCAAAAGGACTTTTTATGATCAATGTTTTTGGGACAGGCCAAAATCAGAGCGCGCACACAGTCCTTAAGCATTTCCGAATTTGCAGTGCCCACAAAAACAATTAGTCTTCTTTAAACTCACTGGACTCGTTTGCCATTGAAGCAGCATTGCTCACACTTCAAACCAAAATAAACAGAGCATTCTTTAGCAATGTTAGGACATTATGACTAACTCCTCCATGCACAGGAACAAAACTGATGATGTGTAGGGAATCAGGCAAGACAGTGAGCAGTGACCTGCAGCTGAGGACAGATATCTGCAAGCAGTGGTGTTTAACAATCTACTCCTCTTGCTAATGGGTGCCCAATGGTATGCAAACTATAACACTATGCAGCACCACCACTAAGCCTCCATTACAAAGAAGTCAACTTAACATTTTCAATCATAAAGTAATCATTGCTCTTCAGAAAAGACAACAGCTGGAGCAAAATGTCCCATCGTGTTAGAGTAAACATACTGGAACCAGAATGTGTAATGGGTGTCTTTAGAAGCTCTAACTGTTGGCAGTTCAGCAAACAGGATAAAATTATTACTGGCAGGGAAACCTAAACCCCAAACAAGTAATTTCCTAGACACATAATACAAGAAACTACATGTTTCATTATCACCAACTCAATATTTACCTATATATGCTCTCTCCTGATCCCGGGTCAGTCCGGGTGGGATAACGGTGGGCATGCCCGGTATGACGGTCTTCTGATCAGGCGTCTCGCTGCTCCAACGACTCTTCTTTCTTCCCTTCTTCTGGCCGAAATCTACCGCGAGAAACACAGCATGCCGGTGAAACATTACATGATGCACGCCAGCTCTACCGCCCTTCACGGCATTGATGGAGCCAGTGTATTTCGAGATTAAATGCAGGAGAACGGCAACGTGGTGATCACGTTACTCCTCGTTTGGGCTCTATCGGCTACTCCTCTCTCATGTGCTTCGATTTAGAAAAAGACAGTTATGGATGGCCTTGATGAGGTTTACGTATGAAAGCGAGGCAATGCACTGTTACCAAATAAAACATACCGTCAGGCAGAGAGCTGTCGTTTCGCCAGACTTCACTATTAACCCTCGTTAACTAAACCGTCAGGTCAGAAGAGGACAACCTAGACCAAAAAACACCAACCACTATCGTTTACTAACCAACTTTAGCGGCTCCTTATCCATGCCGCTCAGGCCAGGGCTCGTCACCCATGTTGGTTAACGTCGTTAGCTTCAGCTCGCTAACGCCGCGTTGAGGGCTACAGGAGTTAGCTTCAGCTCGCTTAACTTACCAGGTTTAGCCATTCCGCTCCCCGCAGCAGATTGCTGTTGAGCTTGACTCGAAAAACTTGTCCCCGGGTTGAACTGATGAGACTGGGGAAAAGATGCGCTTGGCATCGAAGGCTGGAAGCCTTGTAGAGAAGGAAACGACCCGGGCGGCCCCGGTGTTGGCATCAGCCCGTTCCCCGCTCCAGGCCCGGCATCAAAGGCTCGTTTAGCGCCAATACTAGGGTGCAACTTCCCTAATGGAGTTGCATTTGCTCCCGTCGCCATTTTCGAATTACTTAAATGGCTCAATCAGTATGAGCGATCAGTCAGCTCAGGTTTAAATGTGTGCAAATAGCTGACAAAGTGCTTCCTGCTTTAGCTCTCACACAATACTTCAATCAAAATGGCGCCCAACAGAAAATCACAAAGGTTAATCCTTCGGACGTGGGACGGGCCGTCGCAGTAAGAAAGATTCCTATTGGTCAGACCAATGCTCCCTGCGCCTCTCATTCTAAAAATTGATTGGCTGAAAAATGTCAATCTCCTATTTTTGGTGCCTCGGTAACAGGCAACAAATCGCAAATATAACGTGTCTATACGCTCACCGGCTCCAAGTCTGTACATTAATGCATGTAGACGACCTCCTGAAATTCATACCTAGCATCAGCGTAGGGAAGAAAGGTGATTAAGATTAAGATTAAGAGACTTTGAATGGGGGCTGCGGTTTCACAAACTGCTGAGATTTTCCTGTACAGCCTCTCTCTCTGAGGCTTACACAAGATATTCCGGAAAAACTTCTACTCTCTACTTCCTGTAGAGTGCAGTGGTGTTTTTAACCTAGTCTAGTTTATTATGTGTACTCTGAGGTATTTATAGTCCTCCACAATGTCCACATCGACCCCTTGGATTGAAACAGGGGTCACAGGTTTCCTGGTCCCCCTAAAGTCCACAAACAATTCTTTGGTCTTTGTCTTGTTGAGCTGCAGGTGACTCTGCTCTCACCACATAACAAAAGAAAACGCTACATCCAGATAAACAGAATCAACTTTTGGAAAAATACTTCCGTGGATGATTGAGCATGCATCAAGATGACAAAAGAGTCCATCATAACTCAGTACTCTGTCGCAACACCCTCACTGATGCATCCAACCACCGCAGAGTCATCAGAAAACTTCTGAAGATGAACCTCCTCAATATTGCCCGCTCTGAAGGCCCCTTTTCTTGTCATTGAGGAGGGTTTTTATGTCCTTAGTTATGCACAGCTTGTTATTTAGGTAACAATGGACAGTCTGAGCAGGGACGATGGAGTCAGTGATACACTCAGTAAGCCCACTGATGTCCTCACTGACAAGTTTACAGTGTCTCCCAGTCTGTCACCTCAAAACAGCCCTGAAGTTTCACTAAGACCTCCTTTAACCACTCGCTGTGTGTGTGTGTGTATGCTAACAGTAGGTCTAAAATTCTCTCCCCCTTGGTGGGACAGACCACATACTGTGTGAAAGTTGGCAGTGTAAAACTTCAGATATACAGCCAAATGTCATTACTAAAATTACTGCACATTATACATAATCATAACAACAATAATAATAGTACTCACTAGTTCGGGTCAGCCATGAAGCAGGACAAGTTCAGACTCCAACGGACAATCAGCTCTGCAGGGAGGCTCATCAGCACCGATATGCCCTCCATCAAGGACCTGTACAGGCCCAGTTTTAGGAAAGGGCCAGAAAACATCTCTGCAGACCCTTCACATTGCAACTGCTTCCTTCAGGAGGCACTACAGAGCACTGTTTACTAAAACCAGCTGCCAAAGACAGTTTCTTCCCCCAGGCTGTCATGCTGATGAACACTGAGAAATAGCCCACTGTTATATCATTCAAGGTAACAGTGGTTTAGTATTACACTATTAAATGAGTGTCTAAGATTCATCCAGGGTTGCACTATGTTCACCCCATTTATAGCTATGTAACTTGTAAAAGAGCAAGAGGGTTTTTTTTTTTTAAACAAAACGGGTTTTTTGCATTAAAAAAAAAACTTGAACTGGAGTCAAACAAACTTGGCCAAACACAGATTCTGATATATAAACATGTCCAAGTCAATGTTTATCATGTCATAACATATTTCATGTCACAAGTTGCATTTATCATTCTCTGTATGACAAAGTGATCTTCCACCAGTCTTCACTTGTGTGTTCACGGGCTGATGGACTCTGAAGTCGATTTCACATCTTATAGTAAGCGCACACACACACACAAACACACAAAGGTCACAATCCTCAAACTTTAGACAGAGTTTTTATTATAACCTAATAGTGAGAAATCAATACAGACAAAAAGGTTCCGAGGTCGATGCTTTACTACTACAGGTTGAACATGTGAATCTCATATTTATCATAGCAATGGAAATCAATGGAATTTAAGTAATGTTCCTACTGTCAATAAAAGAAAAAAAAAAAAAAAAAAAACAAAAAAAAAGGAACCTAAAAAAAAAAAAAAGTTCTCCCATCTTAATTTCACAAATGTTTTCATCTGATCCCGAACAGAAAAGTGGAACCATGAGAAGGAAGAGAAGGTCCTCGTTTTCAGGCTTCAAGCACTCACATTTGTTTAGCCGTCGCTGCAGTTATGAGGCATACTTCCACTAACACAAATACACTAAACGCACATAATACATTAGAAGCTGCTGAATACACTTTAAGTTCTATTAACAGAAGACTCACCTTTACAATAAGCACCATGCACTAATGTAATGTGTTCAGGCTATGTATGTTTTTTTCAGAAGGGCAAAAATTCAGTTGTGGCAGTGTCACATAAGGAATCAGGCTGGACCTGCTTTTACATACTTGCTAACTGCAGCTATACCACAGCATGTTACAAGACAATGAGAGATGGGAAACTGAGCCACTGTTTGGACTGGAGTGTGAATTAGGACCTGGAAGAAGATCAAAGCATATTGTGAATGTATCCAACCATTTAGACTTAAATGATCTGCTTACTGTGCCCACCCACCCACATACAGAGCGCTGACTTTAGCTTCAAACAACAGCAATGAGATTCACTGTGTGACGTTTACATGGCACTTCGGCTAGCCTACCTGCTTACTGTAAATCAGCTCTGCCCTGACTGCATGGGACAAGCACTAGTATGTATACCGTGCCCGCTCCGCGCCGGGATCCCGCGGATTTTCATAGGTAGAACTTCTTGGGAGGGCGGTCACCGGAGAAAGGCGCGAACGCTCATATGTATATCCATCTGCTTCGGCAGCAACTCTCCGAATCGGACTCCGGTCACGTGCGTAGTATGAAGAGACTGGGGCTGGTGGAGGAGGGAGGGGAGGGCGCTCGTATGGGTTGACATTAGAGGGAGGCAGACGCTCCCTCATTATAGCCGTGGAGGAGGACGCTGCTGGAGCAGGCAAGGGGACAGCGCGGCGTTCCTCGAAATAACTGCCTCCGTAAGAATTGGCCCTGTACTTCTCGTAGTAGTCCACAACCCCGTACGGATCTCTTTCCTCATAAGGCGACCGTCGCACCGGGTAGGCTGGGAACGCGCCATAGAGTGAGCCGTTGCCCCTGTATGCTGCCTCGCCGCCATACATCTGAGCCATGCTATGTTCTGCAGCAGCATTTACACCATACCCCGGGTGTGGCCCATACCTCATTGCACCCTCATAGCCTGCACCTCTTCTGTACCCTGCCATGTTGCTGCTGTGACCGGAACCTCGGGAAAAACCGTGCACAGGAGCATAGCTGCCACCGTAATCTGGTTCGCCACTGAAGTCCGGATGATAACCCCTGCTGCGACCCCGCCCGCCAAATCTCGAGGCATCATATCCATCAGACTTTGGCTCTGAACCGTGGTAGCCATTTTGGTCAAGAGGGCATTCTTTGGACCAGTGGCCTTCCTGCCCGCAACGATAACAACCCGATCTGTCTCCCATTCCCGGCGCAGTACGCAGGCGGCTAGTCGAAAGCTTCACGCTCATCAGTTTGCCTTAAAAAGAAAAGACTCAATAAGGATTTATACCTGCATTCATATTTCCTGCCTGTATCAATCAGCTAAAAGGCTGCATTGTATTCCAACAGTAGCAAGAAGACATACCTAATGATTTGAGCACTAAAAATATGGTTATTAAAGCTGAAATCCGTAACTTGAAACGCTTCTTAAACCACCGAAAACACAACAGGTAACTAATACGATGTGATCAGTGAGCGTCAATTTCAACTTGTACCCGTGGTGCGGACGTGGATCTCACCGGCGCAACCCGAGATTTATGATCCTGCGAATAAATGCGTGTCAAACACCACGTTCTACGAACAGGACTACGTCATGTCCGTTTTAATCCCGCCCTTAATGGGACTATGCATTTGGTCCGATTTGTACACTCTATGTACTTCAAATCGGATACTTGGAATAACCACACAACAGGTGTTTACCTGACGAGTGAGTCATAAATTCCAGTCTGTGTCCCTTTAAGTCCACAACACAGGCGGATATTACCAAAGACATTACGGATACCAGCTTTAAAATGATGTTGGAATTGTCTATTAAAACTTACCTTAGTTCTTTTTACTCACCTGCATTTGAGCAATAATTTACCCATCAACATAACAATATTGATACTACATCTTTAATCTGACTTTAATTAAATCATCAAGCCCAGCCCAAGAGTTCACCTTTAAAAGCTGTGTTGTCTAACTGATTAATGGCTTCCATGGCATCCTCCATTCTCTCCATGTGAACAAAAGCATAGTTTTTTACTATGTCACACTCCAACACAGCGCCAAACTCTTCAAACTTGGCCCTCAGCTCCTGGTTGGTACAGGCAATGTTGCCAACGTGCAGTTTGGTGGATCCCCTTGACTTGCCACGACTTAATTCCACGTTCATAGGCTGGCCATTCAGCTCATACTGGTGGAGATTGCGGATGGCTTCCTCTGCCTCTGTTTTGTCATCCATGTGCACAAAGCCAAAGTTCTTGACAATTGAGCATTCTGCAATCTTTCCATACTGGGAGAAGAGAGAGCGAAGTTCATCTGATGTGGTGTCTGGGGACAAGTTCCCTATGAATATTTTCACCATTGTGCAGGGTCCACGTCACTAAAGGAAGAGAGGAACTTCAGCATTAGTAGCGTCATGACTCCGATGACTGAATTCAAACTTTTACCAGTTCATTTAACAAAATGCTATTCAGTTCAATTTTATTAATATAGCGCCAAATCACAACTCCAAGGTTGTAAGGTGAACTTCTGCAATAATGAGAGTTTCCAGCAGTGTTGTTGAGCAATCACTACTCAAACTTTATGGACTTTTTTCCATTAACAATGCTTCCTGCGGCATGTAGGAGTGAGGACCCCTACTAGTTAACTGTATATTAAGTCTCCACGTAATCTAATGGGGACAACACGAACAACACTGGTACAGTCCGCACAGAATAGAGTGGCAGCAATACTAACAAAGCCAGCACTCTGACAGCATTTCATTAAAGATAACCCACTCAGCTTTAACGAGTCACCGTATGGGCCTGGAACGTTAACTGGAGAATAACGTAATGGACGCGCTCTTTGGGCAAAAGTTTAAGCGCTACAACTAAAGTTTGACGAAGGAGCTGACCAACAGACAAAGCTGCAGTGGACTGGATTCAGCGGAGCCATTTCTATCGGCGGTTCAGTTTACAAAGAACCGGCGTGGTGTGCGGAGTCCAAAGGAAACGCGCGAACGAGCCATTAGCAAGCACAGCAGTGCCCGCGCGGTGCTTAACCAGACACTGAGCACGCAGCCGAAAAAAGTCGTTAGCGGCACCGCTAAATAACATCACCGCAGCTTATCTGATTACAATGTGCATCAAAACCGTGACAAAACACTTACACACTTACACTTAGCGCACTATACTATGCCTGCTTTGGTCAGTTACTCTTACGTAACGTCACAACATTCAGGCTGCGGCCTTAACTACACGAGTCGCGAGGCTGTAGCTTGGATGTTGGATTAGCAGATCTCTTTTACAGCAAACACTTCTGGAGCAGCTGGAACTGTGGTGCACTGGGTCATTTTCGCAACCGATTTTTGTTCCTCGCAATTACGAGGTAATACAATTCATACCTGTTAAAAGTCGCACTCCTCGTCTCCTCCCTCGGAGAATGAAATGGCGGCTAGCGCGTTGGCAGGCAAATACATACAGCTAACCCCGCTAGCGCTTTTTGGGAGGGACTAGCTAGCACCGAAAGCTAAGCCATGGCGTCTCCACATGCAGAGCAAAGGAAACCAAGGCAGGAGAATAGGCAAGATGGAGGATATACTTCGTGACTACGTGAAAAATAGTTTTTTTCTAAACATTATTATCAGTACTTGAACAGTGACATTTAAGAAATCCGACTTGCTTTGGAAGATTAGCACCTAATCACGCTGATCAAAAGTGAAAAAGGTTCTTTCATACAGTCGCTGGATCACATCTTTGGGTCTTTGAAAGCGTTCATGCGGAGACACACAGCCCACTCAAAGCTGGATCTGTAGCCTGGAGTTTGGAGGTCCCATCTCGGTTCACGGAGCAAAGTTTTCAAGTTAACTGGACTACCACATACATATTAGTGTCAATGCTTTTCGTCCAATATGTTCTGATATGAAAACCTTATTGATAACAACGTAGCGAAAGAGGGGACAATTTAGTTCTGATCCATCCCAGTTTGGGCACAGTGGATCGTCCTGTATACTCTACCATCCGCAGCAGAAAAACACACACGACCCAAACTGGCTCAGCACATAAGGCTGTTTTGGTTTGTCAAAACAATATTTATTTCTCCAGGCTTGTCCGGGTGACTTCTCTCTCTTTTAAATGGAATATAAATGTATGATCCTGAATTTTAACACAATGAAGAGACAGGGGTTAGTATTTTTTCTCTCTAAAATCTGCACTGAAAAGTTTAATTCAACTGTGGCTCTACATCAATGAAGAGCTTTAAACAAACAAAAACAAAAAACAGAATTTCAAAGAAATATAGATTTTAAATATGTGAAGAATGGCCTTTCATTGGAGACTTTGTTTTATTTTATTTTTTTACAAGACATTGTCTTGAACATTAACCTTGAGCCCCTATTTGGCCAAATAACTGGATTTTATTTTCTGATATTCATACTTGGAGCATTTTTAGAACAAAATACCAAAAGCCACACCACTGCGTTCATCATACTCAAGTAAAAAAACTGAAAAGAGCATGACCAAAATAATTTTGGCTTTATTAAAAATCATTAACTTCAGATTTTTTTTTTAAAAGGTATATTAATATTTTTTCAGCTAGTATGAAAAATACAAACTTCAAATCCACTCATAAGCGAAACAAGGAAAGGCACCTTCTACAGTACACAGGACGTGCCTCACAACTTCTACAGCTCTGCTCCGTCCCCCCACAGACTTGTTTCTACTCAGTGTTACATGGATACAATAGAGATCTCACACATCGTGGCTCATTTCTGTTGTTGGCTACAGGCAGTCAGCACCACTATCATCGGGAAGAAAACCGTTTGTCAGTTGCACAATCCATATCAGCTAGCAGTCTCACTTTGGTGTCACTTAGTTGAGGAATTTTAGACCAGCAGACACCTCAATTATTAGAAAATGAACAAATAGCAGAACCCACAGACACATTTAAATGAGAAAAAAGCTGGAATGTTTATGATCTCCAGGCTTAACTTTGGTTTAAACTCTGTAAATGCTAACTGAACGCCAGACTGCACACACATCCATTTCCCTGCTGCTGCCTTTAGCCTTTTAATCCACTACAGAGGGAAACGCTGCACCATTCGATTCCACACTTCTGGCTTTACCTGTGATAAATATACACATTGAGAGTTACTGCCCGCTGCAGCAATGACGCTGCAGCAATGATGATCATTTGTAACACTTTTTTCTCTTTATCCAAATTCATTTTACTGACACACATGTCAAATGTGTGAAAGGGCAAGATCCAATTCTTCTGTGCAACGGGTAACCTATGCCATTATGTGGAATGAGGTACGCTTCATGCAATCTTAAAAAACAAAAAACAAAACATGTATTAACTGAACAAGAATATGTCTAAATGACAAAGAAAGACCAAAAATTATTATTTGCCGATTTGAACAATTTGCAACAAATGATGAGAGACATGTAAAGAAAGAAAGACTTGGCTAAAACCCGAGATGAAAACCTGCAGAGTAAGAAAAATGTCAAAGTGTGACGTTTGCTAATCGCCCCTTCAGAAAACAAGCTAGGGGAACATGGCTGAAAAGAGTCATCTGCAGGCCACTGGCATCTCAGATGCCTAGAAGATACGGACACCATTTTCCAAACAAAGTCTCTTTGCCGTACATCAACGCAGACTGAAGGAATCACACTTGAAGTGACGGCAAAGGAAAAGTCTTGCAGTTCACAGACAGACCTAGAAAGAGAGCACAGCATTCCTGAGAAACAGTGCTGACACTTACCACAACTTTAAAAGATTCAGAACGTTAAAAACAGTCCAAGTTCAGACAAACACAGAACCGCGTCAGTGCCCGCTGACTGCTAATGTCTTAAAGTAACGTTATGGACTGTGGTGCTCACCTGGCTTTAGTAAGGCGCATAACGTGATGCATAATGACCCTTGGGTCGTGCAGCTGTGTATGAGCTCCTGGAGGCAGAGGCGGGCGACAGTTGTGTTCGCTCATAGGCAAAGCCGGCCGATGGGACAGCTGCTCGTCTGGTCGGGGTGTGCTCACCTGTGTAGCATGCGGCAGGCACTTGAGGCGGAGGCAAGGCCTGACGCTCAAAGGGATCTACACTGGATGAGAGCTTTGAGATGGAGGAAGGTGGGGGAGGGGGAAGGTAGGACATGCGCCGATCCTCAAAATAGCTTGAGCCAAAAGGATGAGCTCTGTACTTCTCATAATAGTCGACGCTGCTATAGAGATGGTCACGATCAAAGGCTGGTGACCTATCAGCATAGGAGCCTGGTGCTCTGCTGCCGTACCGATCCCCCGGCTCAGAGGCGTAGCCGCTAAGCCTGTGGGGAGGAGGTGGAGGCAACCCACCTACGTAACTAGCCTGACTATATGCAGAGCCACCCATGTAATCAGCTGCTGCAGGTGAGGCCATCCCGTAGCTGCCATAACTTGGGAGACCGTGTGGCGGGGCCCAGGTGCCGCGGCCTCTCATGCTGTCACTGTGGCTACCGTTCCGACTGACTGGACAGTCTTTCGACCAGTGGCCGTGTTTCCCGCAGACAAAGCAGCCCGTATGATTTCCCATTCCCGGGGCAGTGCGAAGCCGACTGGTGGATAGCTGTACGCTCATCAGCTTGCCTTGTAAGGAAAGAGAAGACACGCATGAGACCGTGGGGACTCTGACACGGAAAGCTTCTTAACGACCATTAAACACGTTAAAGCGACAATGACTGAGAGAAGCGAAAAAACGTGCAGCACAACGTGCAGGTGACTGAATGACAGTGCAGTGCCCATTCATCAAGTACACTGCCACTGGTTTTACAAAAAAACCATCCAAAATTGTGATTATTTTCAGTTAACTGGTCAGTTAACAGTTATCCATACTCTGTGGAAATACATCAGCAAGAGGACTTTACTAATCCCTACGGCGGCAAAATAGAATCCAAAATCGCATGTACAGAGAAGACAACTTGCACTCCCCTGCCCGAGCGTTCACCTTTGTAGGCTGTGTTGTCCAGCTTACTGATGGCTTCCATTGCATCCTCGACTCGCTCCATGTGAACAAAGGCATAGTCCTTAACAATGTCACACTCCACCACTGCGCCAAACTCTTCAAACTTGGCCCTCAAAACGTCACTAGTGACCTCTTCCCCGAGGTTGCTGACATGCAGTTTGGTGGTGGACTTAGGCCTCCCTTTGCTCATTTCCACATTCATGCGCCAGCCGTGCAGCTGGTGCTGGTGGAGGTTTTTGATGGCCTCCTCTGCCTCGCTCATGTTGCTCATGTGTACAAAGCCGTAGTTTTTGACAGTGTCACATTCTGTGACTTTGCCGTACTTCTCGAAGAGTTCCCGTAGCTCCTCTGCTGTGGCATTGCAGGCAAGGTTGCCAATAAAAATTTTCACCATGATGAATTCTTTGTATCCTAGAAGATCAAGAAATATGTCTTTTAGGAACACATTCCATACTTATTGATCTAAAAGGGCCATTGCCCATTTCTGTTGGTTAACAATGTCATGAAATTGCTACCTTATACAAATAAATACAAACTAAATCTAAAAGCAATTGTTCAGCTAATACAAAGGCCTTCGCAAACATTAACAAGGCAGGGCATGTTTGCTTAAACTGTTGAATGTTTTCACACCAAACATCAATGAGGACAGGCCAAAATCAAGTCACATAAAAGGAGAGAATCATTCACTCAGCTTTCACCAGCTTCTTTTATTAGACCGCAGAAGATTCAACGTGTGGACTGTCTGTGGTGGTCAGAATGATGTCCATGTCAGACACTGACAGGATAGTTTCTTATCTGTACTCATCACAGGCGATCTAACATGTATGACTACTCGAGTAGTCAAGTGTGCACACAGAGACTACACAATTCATTTAAACCGTATCTACATGTTGCTGCTGCAAAATGATCCGCAGATGAGAAGAGCTGAACTCCGGGCTGTGACAGGAGCTGCTTTGGGGCTGGGTGACATAAACAGACTTTTGCTGAGCAGATGTGCTAACTTCTGAGTGTGTATGCTGTATTTGGAAAAGTACCACCTTCATATTACACACTGCCTTCATTTGTCAGTGGAGACATGTCAACACCAGTTTTGCACTCGTAAAGTAGCTAGCTTGTTAGCACTAATGCGCATGTTACATTAATCACAGGATAACGAACCCTAACGCCACAGGTACGTATTGCTCCTAATTTCTAAACTATGTAAACTGCGTTTAGTTCACAACTCTTCACCATTCATCCACTGTTATTTATAATTTTTGACTGTAATACGTACAGGAAGCTAATGCTCGCTAGCCACAGACTCACTCACTTTGACCTGTTAATTAATTTTCTTCTTTAATAAACACCACAACGTAAGTTTTACATCGCACACATAAAGATTCGTGTCACGTCTTCACACCAAAACCCCCAGCTCACCTATAAAGAGACGTAGGCCTCGATACCAATGAATGAACAATGAAATGACGCCACTTTACCGTCAGTGTTCTCTTCTTCTACTGTTGCTTTGATTGGTAGTTAGCAAACCAGCTTGGAGCCGTTCGCCCTCTACTGGCCTGGAGTGCGAACAAGTCAATCGGCGCCAAAAGTGAGCTCGTTGACCACAGCATATTTTTTTTTTACCATTATAAAAAAGGACATTAGATATAAAATTTACTGGAAAAAAACCCTAAAGCATAAGCAATCAGTTCAATCTGCCATGTTGTTGTTGTTTTTGTTTTTTACAAAGGCAGAGCAGCCAGCAGAGCAAAAGGAAGCTGCGACATGAAAATCAAACATGGAGATAAAGGAAAGATAGGAGCAGGAAGGCCCTTGAGTATTTCACCTTATTTAACATTTCTGTACTATTGTTATTTAATAAGATGTTCTTATACAAAGGGTTTCTGTGTGCAAAAAAAGAAAAAAGA